AGACACTTCCTGATATTCACTCTCCCCAGTGTGGCACACAGCCTGTCTTTTTACCTGACGGCGTCGGTGTAGAAGAGGTATTCTTTCAGTTGATCGGCATAATGTTCTTCTTCCTCCAGAATGTCGTCTATCGACGCAGCATATCTGTGAAAGCACATTGGAAAAACAAGGAACGTTATGAAGACGCTCGGATCTTTTCAGACGTGTGTTGACCAGCGACAGACTGAGTATGCACAAGACAGAAAACATTTTACAGCAAATGATTTGTACTAAACAATAGAAACCTATGTCAACATTTGGCTATTGTAACACATTACATCCTACTTGTTAAAATGTGTATATATATATAAATATATATATATACACACACATATATATATATACTGTAAATGGCCTGTGTTTTTTGCTCATCACTCGTCTTGCGTCCTGTACGTACGTGTCCATGTGGTGTCCAGCACTCTGCAGTCCATCACCCATTTCTTTTTCTATAGCACTCCACTCACTGCAGAGAAAACGGTCGAGACGTGAACACAACTTCGCTCTATTCTTTACATTACAGTTAAGAATGTTGCTTAAGACGTGGTGAGTAAATATTAGCTCAAGAAAACCACAGTCAGACTAATGTTTAAATATAATGATATTTACCGCATTTAATATTGAGGCCAGATGGTGGCCTTCCTTTTTGTAGCAGCAATAACAGAACATCTTTTCTCACCTGAAGACTCGGCCGTAGTTTCCATGGACCTTGTAAACTCCATACAGCCTGTCTGCTACTCTCTGGGAAAAGATGATGAACCCATAGATCATTGTGTGCACGTTCATTTTGTACTTCATTTCTCCCATAACATCATCATCACTGACAGAAAGCAGCATAAAACTAAAGTTCCCACACCTACATCTGTGCTACTTTTAAGTATTATTCACTGCATGAAAAACATTTTAAATTTTTTATATTTTACAGTTATTGAGTACTTCTTATAATGTATACAGTAATGGTTCATACTTTAATAAAGAGTAAAAGAAAAGTGTGTATAATGCAACTTACCGCCCTGACCCTGAGTAGCTGAGATATGGCAGCGCTCAGTTCATCACTGTATAGTTTAAGTGCTGTAAATTTCCTGAGGAAAAAAAGACTTAACTTAGAGAGTGTTAAATTAACATTGAAAATACTGAACTTTTAATCATACTACACCTACTTGTCTGGGTTTTTGACTCTGTACATCGCACTCAGTGACTTGAGTCTGGAATCAGCCTGACAAAAAACCACAACACAGTTGGATTCAGGGACTATCATTTAGAGTTGTATTAAATTATTTAAAGCTTACAAAGCCCATGTCAACCTCTTCACCTTATCTTGAAATCCTGTTTCCAAAACTTCATCTTTCCATTTTTTCTCCTGAGGACAGAGAATGCACAAATGTTATCATAACATACGGGTTTCCCTCCTGACTAGTCCACCTGCTGCCTTGAGCGTAATCCCACAGGCTCCAGATGAACAGCTGGATGCCAAATCAGTTCAAGTGTTTGACATTGTTACGTCCCTCTGGCTGTAACAGATATTTACATTATCAGAATTTTTTGTATATATTTTCTTTTTATTTTCTTTTTCACCATAGTTCCCAGAAGGCCTTTCAGAGTCAATCATATGTTTGTTCAAATTAGATGATCAGCTCAAAAAGGGTTGCATTCTGAAAGCTGTCAAGAAAATAGTGATGGTCTGAGAGCAAGCAGAGCAGGAAAGGTTTGACTTTCTACAGTAGCTCCTTCAAATGACTGAGAGCCCGAGGGAAAGTGAAGCAGTCGACCGCTCTGATGTGACCGACCAAGCGTTTTGAATAGCAGTCAAACTCTGTTACACTGTCAGAGTCGCTGAGGTGTAAGAGAACTGCAGTCTGAACTCGCCCTCTGGTTCCACTCGTGTATTTTAATTAAAACATGGTTTAATCACAGACAAAAATGTAAACTACACTATTAAGGGCTACGTGTGTGGAAGCCAACCTCTGTGAGGAATCGGTAGAATATTTTATCTGTGGAGAGGACAGGATGTGATGCCACCCGTAAGAGGAAGTTTTCCAGTCCAACCCTCCTTCGCTCCACAAAGTCTGGGTCCAGGTTGTCTGCTGACAGTTTGTGCCACACAAACTCTGCCTAAAATAACAACAACACAGGGGAAGAAGAGAGTACAACATAACTGCATCAATAAAGGCTTTTTAAATGTTTATCTTTTAATCTGATAAATCCCATGATGGTCAAAAATTAGCTTGAGGTTCTTTAGTGAAACACTTTTCTTGCCGTCTGTGTAAACAACAACATGTGTATTAACTTTTTATTAGAGCAACACTATGGGGGTTGGACATCGGAATTGTTGGATTTACCATGCACATTATTCTGTCCATGAGCTAAAACGTGTTAACTTTCCCAGCACTAGTATAAACTGAAACTGAGACTTAGTGGTATATTTACATTTCATCATACATAGATATGTGACTCACCCTTTTTTCTGGCAGAGGTGGGATGATGATGTAGGGGTAAGTGACCAGGAGGTACATTCTGAGCAGCTCAAATTCACTGTAGCGTCTCCACAAACTGTCCGGGGTGGCCGGGACACTTCCCTCTGGAAGACTTTCAGCCGGTCTGCACACAAGGGAATAAATGGTTTCTGGATCTCAGGCAAAACCAAGCCAATTAAATGCATTACTAATTACGTAATGCGTTTAATTCTAATCTTTAGATGCCATAGATTACTCATGGCTGAGAAACAATTTCATATGAAAAGGAGGATGGTGAAGTGAAGTGACTTGTGCTCAGTGAATGACTGTGTGTGTAAATGGTAATTTTTGTCATCCTTTATCAAATGCTCGTATCGTTGAAGAGGGTTTGAAGGAAGGCTACGTCCTCATTTAATTTCTGTAGAGCATACTGACATCTTTTGTGCGGATCTGAAATATTTGAATTTAAAAAATGATCTGTGTATTCTTGAACAGAGGGGTTGTTAAATACTGTATTGCACTGATCTATCCCAACTTCCCTGTAATCCTGTTGGAGAGCCTCAGACAACTATGTGTCAGTACAGAGAGAATTTTAAATAAAAAGAAATTCATATTTTAAATTCAAATTTGTTGGTTTAGGCAGAAACACAGATCTGATACTGTGTGACCCACCTTGTTTCTATGAGGTAGGCAGTGTAGGTTTCCTGCATATTCACCGTGTTCTTCCCTGTTCTCTTCTCTGCCTCCGGAACATTAATTTCAATTTTTCTTAACAGAGCTGTTCCTTTTTCCACCATCTGCAAAAAAAAAAAAAAAAAAGTCAGGATATGCAAAATTTATACAGTAGCACACAAGAGAAAAATCAGAAAAAGCAGCAGGCATCAGGCATTATGTTTTCAGCTATGGGAGCGAATTTCGTTCCAATCTGAAGTATATATAGTTGACATATTACTGTGCGTCTTCAGGGAAGAACGCGTTTTATTAAATTCATAGTGACAAGCGGGTGCAGGTCACAAAGTGAGACCAGATAAGACGAAAAGGATCATAATAACGAATTAAAATGAAATGAAACAGTAATTTCACGGAAACGGATACCTATTTTCACAGTTTCTGTACAAAATGTGTCTAAAAAGACTCAAATAAAGACAACCCAAACAGCTTTATGATGTGGTTTCTAATAGTAAACACTATTTTAGCATTAAGTGCTTCTAGCTAGCAGCTAATGTGTGACTTTTAAAGAGTGCACGCGAGAGTCGACTAAGTTCATTTAATTTAAACATTTAAACGTGACATTAGAGAGTTAATTGCATCAATTCGTTTTGTTATGAGATGATGTTTCATAGAAAATGTTAGCTTTTGAAAAAAAGAAGAAACTTTCCGTTGTTCCTAAATGTCACTCGCTCTTGTTAGCTTACAACTTTAGCCTGTTTGTGGAAGCTGCAAATGGTAGTTATTTCATGCTTAAAATATAGTTTGTTCAATCGAAAGAGAATGACCGTGTTTACGATGTTGTTCTCTGATTCAGAAGAAGTTAGATCGGTGTTGCCGATCAGAGCAACGTCTGCGCTGTCACTATCTGCCATCATCTTCACTTCTCTCTTCCTCTGCTGATCTGCGGTCAGCTGAGCTGGCGCACTGGCTCCTCCCCTCTGAGCATGCGTGATTCAAAGGCAGACTATTTTTGATAAAAACACTTCCAGCAATGCTCCTATTAGTCAATATATATAAAAAATACCCGAACAGTTCCTTTTCTGATACTGGACCTTAAATACGTTTAAAGGGCATTCCAATAATTTTAGGTACATCACAACAGATTTATACAAATAATAATTATTTTTTACTTGTCATTCAGAAGCCCAGGTAGTAAATAAAATATGAAATAAAAAATAGCTTAGGATATGTCATTAATAGAAGACAAACCTTATAACTTTTCCAAATTTATTTCACGTAGTTTGGATGAAAACATCCAAAAGTTTTCCAAATAAAAATGTAATTAACAAATAAATTTTCCTGACACAAATTCGCAGTAAATATCACAAAGAGTTCATTTAACCCCTATTAAAAGCTATACTTGGCTAATATTAACCTACTGATAGCTAAAGTTGAGCTATATATGCCTAATTCCTCTTGGCGTTCATGTCCATTACATAGTAAACAGAACATCACAAATCACAGCACCCCATCCGCCACTGTGAGACGTATACAGTATATTCGTCTAGTCAATTCTACTGCTAAAACACCAGAGGGCAGCAAAAACCAACAATAATAATGTTAAGAAAAGGAAGGACGTTAAACATGAGACGTGGCAACAGGCCATGCCTGTAAAATGTACACAGCGGTGTTCGAATATATAATTAAACAGAGTATAAAGCAGAAGCTGGTTTAAACCACAAATCCTCACAATGATTCTTTAATAACCTTTATCGATTAAATTATTAATTTCCCCATCATACCTTTTTTTACTTGTGCATCTGTACATAATCTACACACTGTTATGTGTGAACATGTATGACTTTAATGAGCATTCTTAGAAGAAGTTGTCTCTCACAAATTCAAGGGCTGAACTTGTGATGCTGTTGTACTTGATTACAATGTTAACACTATTTTTTTTTTTTGGGTTCTCCAGGACATTACTCTGCCCAGCCTGGGTTTTTACACCAAAGCTCTACCTCAAGCCATTTAAAATGCAGCAATTGTAATGATAAAGATCCCTTGTTTGCCAGAGAGGAAGAACATTAAATGCTTTTCCTATAATGAACCAATATAAATCCATGTTGTTATACTACTAAGAAGACAAATGGATTAACTTTAAAAAAAAAAAAATTACAAGTTTTGGGCCAAATCGCTCAGACCTGGCACAAACATTTTGCATTTTATTAAACAGTTTGGATACCACTGATATAATAATATAGTTGGTTGTTCATTTAGTGAAAGTTTTTTTTTAACCTCACTCTCAATTTGTCTCTCTGTCTGGTTGTGTCGTTTACTGTACAAGGCTGGTCATGAAGGTCATAAAGAGGAAGTCTTGTGGTCAGTAGACAGGAACTAGCTCAATGTCAGAATCTTTGGTCCTTTATTTTACTCTCCCTCATCCATTTATTTCTGCATTTGACAGTGGTATAATAAATACAGTGTTTCCAGCCGGCCTTTGTTTGTGCGGTGGAGCCTATGGAACGTACAGCGTGTGCTATTTGTGCATGAAAGTTAAAGTACAGTCTGTTGGCTTCATTTTAGCCTTGTTGTCTGTGAAATGCCACAGGCCTTCTGCGACGGCTCGCTGTAAACTGTAAATCTCTGCTTCTGTTTCCACAGCATTTCATTTAAAATGATCATTTCCTTCTCTAGTGTCCCTTTTTCCCTCATCTTTTCTACATGTTTTTACATTTATCTCTGGTTTGCTCTTCCAATCCATCACGCAGGCGATGACAAATTAAGACGTGGAGTTTAGAAGTTAACACTGATGCCGGTTTCCAACACACTCACACACTTACATGTATACACATTTGCTGCATGTGCACCTCTTCCCCTCTCTCTCACACAGACATTAAAACACATATGCACAGTGTGAGCAATGCAGTATAATAAGCAGCGTAGCAGAAGTGCGGTTAGCTTTGCCCCATGTGCAATCGTTGAGAAGCCACATCAAAACTTATGGGTATTAAAGGACAAGTCTTGGTTGGTTGGGAGGGAATCTGTCATGCAACTAAAAAACTGTGTTTTTCACCCTAATTTCCCTCTTTCATTTTTTTTTCTCAGCCCCCTTTTTTTCTTACCTCTTCTTTCCAAGTTTTGTCTTTCACCAAATTCTCTCTATCTCTCTGCCCATTTTGACTTGTTCTCAATTTCTTTCAGCCTGTGGCATATTAGTCTCAGTTGTAATACTCTCCAGCCTAAAATGCTTCAACCACCGGAATGTTCCGTCAAAGAGGAGGGCGGACTCCTGGGGGGAGGGACAGACCAACATGGCCAATTAAGGAGGAGATTGAGGTAAGACAGACAGCTTCTAAATGGTGTAATAACAACCTACTAAAATGTAATTACAATGCAATAGCAATAGACACTTCTAATGACAGGATGTTGATGCCAACGTGATTTTCTAATTATGACCTTGGCAGAATGGGCAACTGTTAACATGGCATGGAGATTATAGAGAGGTGTTCGAATGCAGAAATTCAACCACAAGAACTTGTAGTAACGTTGAAAGACATACTCTCCACTCCAGGTCCTGTCCAGTATTGATCACCAAAGTATAGGTCTGTGTGTGTGGTTGGTCTGGGTGGAGTTAATGACTTAGTGACAGCACAATTGAGGAAAATAATTAGGATATATATGGTTGAGGCACCTTTCTCTCTTGATTTCAGGATTCTTAGTTTACTTTTAATTTTTTTGGCAAATTTGTTTTTGTTCAAAAACTTTCTTTACACTGTTCATTCATTGACCCTTCAAACTGGCACGTAGAGTCGTTGTAGTCATGCCTCTGATTGGACACTCATCCATGCATTCATCTATCAATGTACTGGCACGTAGAGTCGTTGTAGTCATGCCTCTGATTGGACACTCATCCATGCATTCATCTATCAATGTACTCATCCATCCATCCATCCATCTGTCCATCCATCCATCCATCCATCCATTCGTCCGTCTCTAACAAGAGGAGTGGATGGTGGCGTCCATTATTACAGAGCATCCCAGAATAGAGTCTCGTTTTATTACAAGTCCCTCTGGTCGCCGTGGCTACACAAATTACAGGCCATGCTTCTCACACATAAAAAAGGTTGCGCTGCCGAAAACCAGCCACCTCAATAAAGGATGGATTAGAAAATCCTTTGCTTTTTTCCCTTCCTTTCCTTTTTGAAAAGTTTTCTGTACATTTTTTTCCCTCTGGTGTTTTGTTTTATGTTGGGGTGCAGCGGTCTTCTTCAGTGGTTTTGCTCCCCGACCCTGCGGCGGGAAAATACGCTCACTTGTGGGTTTCTGGGAAGGCAGCGGTGGACGAAACATCTGCTGGGAGCAAGATGTCTGTAAGTGTGTGTGTGTGTGTGAGAGAGAGTGTGAGTGTGCCCTGGCATCCTGTTCAAGTTACATATTTGTTTTAGTTTAGGACATGGTCAGAAAAAATATCAACTATACATTGATTTTTGGCTCTGCAAGAGAGTAAATAATACACACACATTTGTCAAGATTTACTTTACTATTTCTTACTTACCTCACCTTGCCTTACATAATCTAATCTAATCTAATCTAATCTAATCTAATCTAATCTAATCTAATCTAATCTAATCTAATCTAATCTAATCTCACCTCATCCTGTCTTTTCTTACACATCGTACCTTACCTTACTGTACTTTACCTTAAGGTACGGTACCTCATCTGAGTGAAATCTGCTGCCATCTACAGTCGATAATAGTGAATAATGTGTCCAGGTGCAAAAACGGCTTCTGAATTTGCATTCAGCCGAGACCTGAGCTGAGAAACTGCTACTGAAGTTGGAAAGACATTAGGAAACAGATGTAGACTAACACAGTTCATTATCCTCTCACCATGAAGGGCTTCCTCGGACACTGCTGTGTACAGAGAAGCCATTCATGAACGTACGATTGTTTTGGGTCACATCTGAAAATGAACTACAGAAAAAGGAAACGTTATACATTCAAACTATTATAAACACATGGTGGAGGATCTGTTGGTCTTGTCATGGCTGTTGACATCCACACAGTAGATGTCTACACGTCGATGAATACTTGGACAAAGGTTCATAGAGAACTGCAACGATGGGACAATACAATAGAGATTAAAATCCCAATATCAAAACTTTCAACAAGACAGTTTATGTTCAATTTGACATTGCATATGTTCATAACCATATATGGCCGTGAGAATGATACTATTGTAGTGTGACTGACACTCTTGAGAGAGTTGTCAACTCGACTTTACTTCAATTGAGGACAGACCGACACGGAGCCTAACAAAGTGATGAATATAACTTCACTGGAGCTGAGTCGACACTTGTGATTGTGCTGCGATCGAAGAAACTAACATAGTAGTTTTACTATTTACTAAAAACTGACCGGCCAGAGAGGCTTTGGTGGGAACATAACAACTGCTGGTGTGTGTCAGCAATGATACAACAAACTTCTGGGGTCCAAATGATGTTAATGTAACTTTTAGCTGTATACATTTAAAACAAATGACAATATAAATGTATTAAAAATCGAAGTAATAATAAACTGAAACAAAACAAAAATTTAAAACAGATCTTTTCAGCTCTTATCTGACTCAATAGCACTTGTCTCGGTTGTTTTTCTGAAACAAAGCCTCAGTCTAATCAAAAACACATACAATACAATGTTTCATGTGTTGACGCTCAAAGATTCTTTTTTTTTTTGCTTTGTGTGACTTTATCTTATCTTAATGTGGGCCATGAAACGACTGAAATCAAAGTCTCCAATACTGTATTTTGACCAACCCGGAGCAGCAAATTAAACACATTTTCAACCATCAATGAATGGAGTACAGCAATGTCACTTTGTAGTGCTGTAATGAACAATGATGCAGTCATCTCTGCGGTAACAGTTTGTGGTCATAGTGAGAAATTACAGAGGTTCGAAGGAAGAAATTAAAGCTGTAGACTTGAACCTTTTGATGGATCAA